ACACTGTGTTGCTGGAAGTTGCTGTTTTCTCTTTTTTCTCATCAGGAGATTAATTAAATTCAAAATAGTTCACATCTACCTATTAAACCGTGTTCCACCAGCCGCCCACCAGACGAACATCGGCAGAGACGCGTCTGGGAGGGGGGCGAGGGGTGAGGGGGTGGGTCTGATGCGAGGGGAAAAAGTGGCAGAAACTCCAAGGTTTCCCCTCAGATCACAAACAATGGAGGATGGCAGGTCTGCGGTCTGGCTGCCATCGCATCTGAAAGCTGACTCGTCCTCTGCAGCAGGTTTGATGGGCCTGAGTTGATATGTGTGGTGTTAAGACTAAAGCAGGTCGGGCCTTGGTTTTATTCTGCACCACACAAATACGTGACAGACGCTGAGGCTTCAGTTTGAACGTTTTTACATTTTGCTACAAAAACATTCACAAAATAAAAATAAAAAGGCTCGCTCTAATGCAAGCCTGCAGAAATGGAGATATTCACGGGCCACAGCGAGAACACATCCAGGTTCAAACCCAGAACCGTGCTGCTAACCTCTGCACCACCGTGTCACAACACATCGAAGCTCCTCATCAGAATATCTGACTGTGTCCCGAGTGCAGAAGAAACGGAGCATGCGTGAGCCTTCAGGGCACACAGGTGCACCCTTGGGGTGCACAGGCACACACTGCACCCGTAGGGACAAAAAGGGAGTCCGAACACCCCCGGCCACGCCTCCGCCTGCAGACCTGCAGACACGCCGCGCTCAGAGAGCGGTTAAAGGCAGACGCCTCGGCACGAGCTGCTAACACTTGATTGAATCTGCAACATCTCTGATTTGATATAAAGCGCACTGCAGAGTAATGAAAATAGGGAACATTTTAAGACAGTCTAACCTTTCCTGTGTTTACCTTATTAAAGAGTGTGTACCTTAACTGCTAGAGCAGTACACACAGGGGGAACAACAGCGTGTGTGAAGCTGGCAGTGTTTAAGCAGGCGAGCACTAAAGTAATAGGCAAGAGCAGTGAAGTGTTGATTCTACAAAAGATGCAGGGGAAAAATTGCACCTTAGAGCGCACACACGCACGCACGCACACACACACGCACGCACACACACACACTCCCCCTCCTCAATAACACCCACAGCACGGCCGGCTGCCTGGCAGCCGAAGTTAACATTTTCAGAGAAAATATTCCTTGCCTCCAATAGTCCGATGTAATTCATTTTCCATCTCTGTTCATTAATCATTGTTAAAATTAGTGATCCATTTCTTCCACTCTGCCATCTGCACTCAGCTTCCTAACAAACATGACACCTCAGCGCATAATAAAAGCTGACAGCTACGAGGAGGCCTTTCCAAATAGCTTTCTGCATATGTGCACCTCCGTGTCTCCGCGCCGCTGTCAGACAAAAGTAGGTTATTTAGACCACCGGCTGCAGATACCGGCACACGCTCCGGCTCCACGTGCACACGTATGTACGTGGCGCACGCACGGTTGGGTGTCATAGAAACACCCACAGATTGACTGATCTGGGCTGGAACGCGTTAAATCCTGATACGATAAATTTCACCGCGCAGTTTCCAGCGAGATGAGAAAAGGGGGGCAAGCAAGGCCTTTAAAAGTTGAAGTGTCCTGTTTACCCCGACAAGCTGTAACTTCAGCTGGAACACTGTTGTACTTTTCCATCTGCGTTTGCTTCCAGCGGCCGTGTGTGTGAATCAGCTCAGCTACACCCTGATCGCACTCCGCTAAACTCACAGCTAATTCGGCTAGAAAGGGGAAAACAGGGGGGGGGGTAAAACAGAGAGAGTGAGGAGAAACACCCCCCTCCCCCTTTTGTGGTCAGCCAGTCCTCATAAACACCCCCTAATCCACATAAAAATACCTTCAGAGAAAGCCGTCCCTACACGACCCCCCCACCAACACCCTGCATAAACTTAAAGCCTCACATGAGGTGAAAAAGTTCAGCGTAGAAAAGCAGGAACGATATCTTTGTGTCGTCCCTGAAATGCATTTCCACCTTAAAGACAAACCGCTAAACTGCATTTCCACCTTAAGAATAAATCACTAAACAACATCTCCACCTTAAAAACAAATTTTAATATATAAGTGATTTATAAAAAAAAAATTCAAAAATCAACCAGGCGAGCTTCTCTCTCTCTCAGCTTACACACACACACACACACACTCAGTAAACTCAACAATCCAATGCTGCACACACACACTGAGTCAGTATCCCTCCCTGGCGAGGTGTGTGTGTGTGTGTGTGTGTGTGAGTGTGTGTGCCCGAGGCGCAGCACATTAATCTATATAATGCCCTCAAAGAGAAGGCTTTTTCACACCGCTAACTGCCAAGGACTACGAGGGGCAGCGGCTGAGCCATGATTCAGCTGTTAGCCCAACTGGTGTCCCCGCGCGCACACACACACACACACAC